TATATATATATATATATATATATTTGTATGTATATGTATAGTATATTTGTATTTAAATGATAGTGTTATCTGTAACTGTAAACTGTATTAACTGTAAAATAATACAGTACATAAAGATTGGGCCCATACACAGAGCTGGTCTGTCTAGACTCCTATTTTTTGGAAACTGCAATACTTTTTCAGGATTCTTTGATGAATAAAAAGTTTAAAAGAACAGCATTTGTTCAAAATAGAAATCTTTTCTAACAATATACACTACCGTTCAAAAGTTTGTATTTTTATTCTTTCTTTTGTCGAAAGAAATTACAAATTTTATTCGGCAAGGATGTGTTAAATTGATAAGAAGTGATAGCAAAGATTTATATTTTGAATAAATGCCAGAAACCATTAATTTATATTGTAATAACATCTTGCAAGATCAAACATTTTGATCAAATAAATGCAGCCTTGATGAGCATAAGAGACTTTAAAAAACATTACAAGTCTTACTGATCCCAAACTTTTGAGCAGTAGTGTATATATACAGTACATAATATATAAGACAAAAACCTATACAGGGGTGTTTAATTTTGACCCATACAATGTATTTTTGGCTATTGCTACAAATATACCCATGCTACTTATGACTGGTTTTGTGGTCCAAGGTCGCATATAGTAAAAACAGTAATATTGTGAAATATTATTACATTTTAAAATAACCGTTTTCTATGTAAATCTTATTTCAATTGTAATTTGTTCCTGTAATGACAAAGCTGAATTTTCAGCAGCCTTTACTCCAGTCTTCAGTGTCACATGATCCTTTAGAAATCATTCTAATATGCTGATTTGATGCTCAAGAAACGTTTCTTATCAATGTTGAAACCGTGATGGATATTTTAAGATTCTTTGATTATTAGAAAGTTCAAAGGGTGCTGCATTTTATATATTAGGGTTAGGTTCAGTCTAAAGACTGAAAACAGACTCCTAAAACAAAAATGGTGTTAGTTTTAGTAAGTTCAGTTGACGTCTGTTACATTCAAACAGTCTATTTTAATGAGTTGTTTCAAAACTTTGAAACAAAAATGATTTTTTATATATAAATTGCCCAGCCCTATGATGCAGTCAGTGATAAAGGTTCTTCACAATCTTCAGAGCCACAATGGCTGCCTTGTCTCTAGCATGAGCCTCAATGGCTGGCTTCTAGAATCTAGAATCTCCCTCATGAAGAGGGTTTCTGCAATCGAGAGCCTAGGGTCTTTCCTGGAGTAAACACAGCTCGAATTGTGCGGCAGCCGGATATGAGGAGGAGGAGAAGAGACTCAAAAGCTCTCTGTGAAAGCTCATGTTGCTCTTTTGAAGTCCACCAGCTTCTTGCTTTTAATCTGCCTATCTCACTCTCTCCTCGCTCTGGTTGTAATATAAATGTGTAATGTGCTTTTACATGTAATGTCCTTCTTGCACCAGTGTTCTTAGAGCAGTTTCAAATATTCATTGTTTCTGTGAAGAGTTATGGTGATATCAAAGGCTTGATGCTGCATCTCATGGTCTTACATCGTTATAATCGAAATAGAATTATTAGAAACATTTGATTAATATGTATTTAAACTAAATAAATAACATTTTATACAGTACATTTTAAACTAAACGTACTGTATAACACTTTAAATATACACACAGTAAACAGATAGTTACAGCATGCGTAAGTGCTTTATTTATGCTATCAAAATGTTTTCCCTTCTCTTCAGGCACGTCTTCCATAAAATCTGTGTGGATCCGTGGCTAAATGAGCACTGCACCTGTCCTATGTGTAAACTCAACATTCTCAAAGCTCTGGGAGTTATGGTGAGCTCTCACACACACACACACACACACACACACACACACACACGTTTGCTGGGTTTCCATGTTTTATGGGAACATTCCATAGAAGTAAACCTACCCCTCACACACACAACTTTCTACAGTTTTAGATTTTCAAAAAAAATAATTCTGTATGATTTATAACCTCATGGAGACCAAAAAAAAGCCCCATAAGGTCAAAATGTACTGGTATTACTATACTTGTGCGGACATTTGGTCTACATAATGTAGGGAAAACCAGGACCACACACACTAATTATTAGTTATTTATTAAATATTATTTATTAAAATAATTAATAAAGAAATATATTAATTACAATTACTACAGATATATCTAAACAACCACCTCTGTAAAAGAAGACCTGCATTTTTAGGAAATGATTCACTTGATGTAATTTTTATTTATTTTCTTTAGATATATAATACTTTTGAGGGCATCCCTAAAGAGATGTTTTGTCACATTTACTGTATAGCTATCTTCAGGGAACAATTTCCCCCAAAGTACAGCTGTGTGAACTCACACTGACTTAAATTTAGTACAAAAACAACAGACACATTGATCTCAGAGAGTAGCAGGTTATGACATTCATAAGGCTCTTACTTGATTTGTTGTTATGATTTTATTATGATTTATCTTCTTGAAAATAACTGAAGTTTGATTGGGATCGATTGCCTAAAATATTACAACATGTAAAGACATTACTGTAAAAAATGGCAAAAATATGGTGTTACTGGTTGCAACACGATAAACATTGTTACATGATGTAAAGTAATTTGGCCTGTAATCTTGTTTTTACAGTGAGGGGTAGAGTATTTATGATCTAGTAGCTCCCTCTGGTGGTCATTTCATTGCATTTTTCATGTAATGTAATTTTACCAAGATTTTTTTTTATTTTTTCTTATTTGGGAGATTTGCATAGAATCATATTTATGTTAATAAAATTGGGACTAAGACATTCCTTTACTTACAGCCCAACCTGCCTTGCGTGGACAACATGGCTTTTGACATGGATCGGATGTCCCGCAGTCAGACTTGAAAAACGAAGCTGCCGATTGCACTTCAAGTCCGTTTCTTGCACATGCATTGGTAGTGTTAATAGAGCTAACTTCCAACTCTGTAGACATGAGCACATTCAGACCTTTTCACTGGGTGATATTGCTAATGAACTTCTTGTTTTATTCAATTGCTGTAATTAATAAGCCCTTTTTTGTTTTCATTTTATATGAAGTGTTCGCATATGTTAAATGTCTTTTAAATTTGTATTTTTTTTTAATCCTTGATTGTCATGTGAATTAAATGTTTAAAGACATTTGTGTGTGTATTAAAATTGCTTTGTGCAAAAATCTTTGTTGAGCTTTTTAGTAAGTTAGTAGTTACTAGTACTTGTTGTATTCCATGATACTCTTTTGATGATTTCTGTCTCTCTCAGTTTACCATGGTGAGACTCCTGAATCAAATTTTTACATTCAGACCAGGAACCTCCATCATGTCACACGTCTACTAGACAATATTGATTTACTGTGGCATATAATAATAACTCTACAGTTGAATTCAGTAGTTCCTTACAGTAAGTCAAGTCAAGAGCACTAAAAATACTGTTACACATCTATGAGACCAGATTGTGTTTTGTATCAGCCTAACATTTAATGCACTGTATAATTTACGGTCAGAGTCATTCGGCTCCAGCAGAATTTAGTTGGAAACGTAAAAAAAACAAAAACAAACCTTGAACAAGGGTGAATGAAATTGAAATGAAGGATTACTTGATGGAGTGAAGCATATTTTGCTGTACTGTAGTGTAATATAAATTATTAAGCTGCTGTCTTTGAGTCTATAGTCATATTATTACAAGTTAACACAGCATTTTTAGGATAAAATATCCAGCACATTTAAGTAAATCAATAAGGTTTTTTTTTATTATTTTCATTATTTTATGTATCTACCCACCTGCGGGTAAAATCTGCTTAAACATTGTGTTGTGTTGAAAATCCTTTACCTAATTTGGTCGTATCTTTTAAAAATTGTTGGTAAATCTCATTATGCTTTATTATCACCAAATCTTGGATTCAACTTGTTTTCTTTCAATTAGCACAGGTTTTATATTTCTTTTTTCTTTTTTTGGAATTGATTAGCCATAGGCCTCACTGATCTGTGCTTACGCACCTTCGTTTTTGAGTGAAAAAATTCAAAAAGCATTTGGGAGAAGTTTGTAAGCAATGTTTGTAGGCAGTCATTTTTGGCCAAGAGCACCACAAGGCACAGCATTTTTAGGATAAAATATCCAGCACATTTAAGTAAATCAATTAAGGTTTTTTTTTTATTATTTTCATTATTTTATGTATCTACCCACCTGCGGGTAAAATCTGCTTAAACATTGTGTTGTGTTGAAAATCCTTTACCTAATTTGGTCGTATCTTTTAAAAATTGTTGGTAAATCTCATTATGCTTTATTATCACCAAATCTTGGATTCAACTTGTTTTCTTTCAATTAGCACAGGTTTTATATTTCTTTTTTCTTTTTTTGGAATTGATTAGCCATAGGCCTCACTGATCTGTGCTTACGCACCTTCGTTTTTGAGTGAAAAAATTCAAAAAGCATTTGGGAGAAGTTTGTAAGCAATGTTTGTAGGCAGTCATTTTTGGCCAAGAGCACCACAAGTGTAACAAGGCGGGGGTGAAAAGTAAAGAAATAATCAAAAGTGTTTGGGAAGTTGTACTGTGTGTGACCAAAGTCAGTATGTTTTAGTCCAATGCGTTTAATTAGCATTTTCGTGTAAATTAAACTGGTAAAAATGACAACATTAGAGTTAAATCAAGGAGCTGTATATTCACAAATCACCCAAACCATAAAAAAAAATCAGATTTCCGCTGAGAAGCTTGATGGTAATTAATTGGTCTGGTGTCAAGGACATAATAAGTGTTTATTACATGTAAACGACTGACATTGATTTTGTGCTGAGATGAAATGTCAGATTTGAGCACAACCTTTATGGAGGAGGTAAATAAGTATTTTCAGTCAGCAGGAGCTGCATCTTGAATACTTTATTAACATTCAAAAGAATCATTCTTTCATCTTTCTCATTTTCTTTCTATCCCCCTGTTGTACACAAAACTGAGCATTATCACACATGTACAAATGGCTTTTATGTCTTGATCTAACCCCATCATTTTTGTTGTTTGTCTGTTTTTAGGTGGTCATTTCTTCAACCGTAATTCTGTGTCTCCGCGCAGAATAGTCTGTGAGATGGAGCTTCCAGACATCCAGGCGTCGCTGGACATATACGACGACAACAAGTCCTGAGGACACGCACCTCTTCCACCTCAAGCCCATTCCTCCATCATCCTCTCCCCGACCCCAGACTGTGGGGAACAACCTTTATGAGTGTGAAATGGAGTATTGACAGTGAGCACACTGACTCTGGCGATAAACTCTACCACTGTAGAATGATCGGTCGCCTCAAGTGGACGTGATTGGACTGTTGCACCATCATCAGCCTCCTTACACTTTTAAACTGATTTTTTTCTCTTACTTTTTGAAAGACTATCTTTTCACAGATGGCTGTGGGAAGTTCCTCTTAGTTCGTTTCTCTGGTATACTCAGTTAGCCACAAATGTTGTCATCTGTTGTCTCATGTATGTAATTTGCTGACCGGTTCCCATGCTTAATATTGTTCCAGATGGGGAAAACTCTCTCGTGGACAGTCGTAAAAGCAGGATTGGAAACTGAGCCTTTGTAGAAAAGCTGTCTGCTTTGTATCTCTGCCTTTGTAGCTAAACAAGATGCAAACAAACTCGTCCTTCATATGCTGTAATGCTGCTGTAATCTCATGTGGCCCCTTAGCACAGTTCGTCGTTCCTGGATCTTGTCCGTTCACAAGAGTGTGTCTCTTTTGTGTTCTCGTTTTCGTAACCAGTTTTTGGGGGATGGGCATTGTGTCCATACTGGCCTGCACTCGGAGATCTTTGTGCTGATTCTGCATCGGTTTTGTTTTATGTCATATGTAGTTGCAGTCAGGACAGGGCAGAGCTCTACTCTGAGACACTCAGTGAATAAAGGCTCTGCTTTATGTGGGTCATGATATGGGCTACCTATGTTACGTACTGCCTCAGCATTAAACTTGTCATAATTGCCTATACTGCTTTCTTTGGGTGAGGTTTAAAATGAACACAAATAACACAAATCAGTGTTACATTGTTATTATTTATGTACTATTATAGTAATTACTATTTTGAATTGGCTTTTATTTTTATATTTGCAGTTTTCATTTTAGTTTCAGCTTTAGTAAATTAGTTTTTGTCAGATTTTTTAAAATGTTAATGTCTCTATAGCTTTATTTATATTTATGTTTAGTACATCGACTTAAATTTATTTTATATCAGTTACTTTCCAAGGCAACGTTTTCATTTAAATGTGTAATATTTATTTTAATTGTGATCTAATATTTAATTCAATACATGAAAAGGTAGCTTTATTTTTAGATAACAATAACAACGCTGCCATGGACTGATGAATAAAAAAGCTTTATTGGGGCTATTTGAGCTCAAGTCTGGGGTGTGTGTCCAGTGGCCCCGGCTACTATAGAGTACAAAGGAGTAAACTGGTTTCACCCTGAACAAAAGGAAAAGAAGAGCAAAAAGATTTGTATTTAGGAAAAGGTATGATTAAATATTGTACTGATTTAAATATTTGTCATATTTAATAATATATGTATTATAATTATAAATATATAGGGCTGGTGAAAATATGACGGCATTAAAGCATAAGTCCTTATAGTAAATGTTACTGAATTATTATAATAATTACAATTTAATATAATTATAAGCAGCTTCACAAAATAATTAAACAGGAAGTGTAGTAGATGTAGTTTTTTTATGCATTCATATCCTTTTGTAATAACTGAGTTAACGTGCACCATTAGGTGACCTTTAGTTTCTTGGAAGCTCGAAGCTATTGCATTAATTTCATTTCGTTCAGTTTCGTGTGTATAACCTATACACCTATAAACTTCTGCGGGTGCTGTATTTATTTTCACATTTGAAGAGCCTGTTTTTCTGCAATGCTTTCATCCGCCGCGAGAGGGCGATATATCGCTCTGATCAGCTGCTGGAAATAACCGAGAGCAGACAAGAAGAGTGCTCAAGTGTACAGGAGGATTAACTGAACGTTTACTAATGACTCTTTAAATGGCGTTTACTTTAACGGTAGTTATTTTGATAATTTACCATGAACTGCTCATGAGATCCAACAGCGTCGAACTACTAAGCAGGACAAATCTGACGGACGGAGAACGATTGAAGACTTTTCAGACGGATTCATTTCCATGTACATTTAGTAGACTAACATTAATATCTCACAAACTACAGCATTAAAACTCAATCACTGCAGCTAATAAGTGACAATGGATGTGTCTCAAAATCTAGTGAACTGCCTAACTAGATACTTTTAGCAGTTTTAGTCATCATAGATGCAGACCCGGCGCCAGACACAAATTCACGGACGGGCATTTCATTTTTTCAGGTTGATGAATCAGCCGTTTGAACAAATCGTTTGAATTAATGACTCAATGACTCACTTAATAAGACCGCTTATCACATGCCGCCATCTACTGGCGGTTTAGTTTGTTTAAAAGTGTCATTCTTTCCAACATTTCTTATTTGTATATTCCAAAAAATATTTAAAACAATCTCATAACATTATTTAATGTAAATTATTCAATTTGATTGGTAGCAGCCATATAGTGTCTTATTCTAATTTAATTTATTGAGCAAAAAACCAAACATTTCCACGCTCACTATCGACAAACCAATCAAATACGTTTAAAATATATATATTTTTTAAATCAGACCAAACACATTTTTATTTTTATCCAGGAGTTATATATATTCAAAACGATAACTTTTGATAACAGTTGCCTATTGATAAAAATATATATATATTGTGCAAACAAGCAAGGACTGGCGAAAAGGTGAAGGGAGACCGCAGGCTCGTCCAGGGCGGGCACTAGTGACTCACAGGGCGGGCCAGGCCCCCCAATG